GGTGGTAAATCCTGGCACTTTTTCTAGTATCAACAGGTCCTTTTCTTGCGCTTTTCAGCCACTTGGGGCCAACGTTGACCCATTACCACGGCTGCCAGCAGCCGTCGGTATGGTCTGGAAACGCCATGGCTCCAAGAATTTTGTCTTCGCTTTCTGCTTCTTCCGTCTCCCGTATCTTTTATTTAACAGCTTATCAAAGCAATCCGACTCCCTAGATTGCGCAGACTGGCAATGTTCGTATGGTACGCTTGGAGAAAGGCCTCTCCATAGCAGAGGATATACCTACCCTCCCTTCTGTCCGCTAGAACCCGATCATTGAGCCATGTGCCAACATCGGGAATGACTTATTGATCTTCCCTACTCATCGAGCTGACAGCTCGCGACCGGAGAGAGTGTCGTGTTCGTATTTCAGAGACGTGTTTTGGGCGAGGTACAGCAAGCCGGTCAGACCCAGCTTGAACCCCTACCTTGTCTTTTAGGATTTACTCGGCGGAGTCTCGCCCGCTTCCGATAACTTTGCCTCAAGATCAACCCTCTTAGCTTCCTGAAAAGGGGTCTGGAGAGCTTTTCATGAGGACTTAAACCCAAGGTTCATCTTTCCCTGGCCTTCGTACGCCGTCGAATCGGCGTCCAAATCAGGGGGCCTGCAGTCTCAGACCAAGCTCATGGATTGAGGACAGGCCATGCTTCAAGACCAGAGAGATGTCGATATTGTGGCAAGCCAATCTAGCAGTCTTATGCGCATTCACAGATTCAAGAAAGAGAATCATCAGCCACCATTTTTCAGGCCCCCCCTGCTATGCTCAATCTTTATCAGAGGTACTATATCGATTGCAAGGGGCGGTTTCCGCAATGCAACCTCATTCTAGTTTGAAGATATCTCCTGCATGCTAAGAATTGATCAAAGAATTGCTCCTCCCATATTTTCAGGTTGCGTTTTAGTCGAGGTTTGGTGTCTCCAACCATTTAGTGGGCTTCAGCCCAGTGTCACGCAAACATCAGGTCTCTGCTAGCTAAAAGTAGCAGCGGCTTGGCGTACCTCCCATACGCCAGCCAAGCGAACATCTCATCTTTGGGGGGGGGGGTTTTAATTGCCCTCAAAGATTCAGAATGATGTAGCGCGAAGCGAAGTTACATATACATATTCCGTACGAGCATTGGGGGCTTCTGTTCCCCTGTAGACAGATCATTATCGGAAACGAAAGACAACTAACTATACGGGCCTTTTCACAACGAACTACGTTGAAGATGATCGAGTATTCCTACACCACCCCAAACACTCTCTTGACCTGACGTCAAACTGACGCCAATCATCACAACATCTAATTTTGCGGGTACATATCAACCTTCACAATTTATCCTATCGTTCTTGGCACCGTCCAGGCCGCAGCTGGGAACAGAGCCCCCACGCTAATACCGATCGGATAACCCCCATGTTTGAGTTGTGTCATGGCTCACAGAGCCATCAATGAACACCAGGAACGGTAAACCGAATAGACGCCTCTTTCTCAGTTATGCATCTAATCCTTCAAATTCCTAGGTTGTCGTTCTCTCTAGCAAAGATAGATAGCCCATGCCATAATTCAAAGATCGACATTGGACGCTGACGATACCTAGTTAAAACCCGCGGAGAAATAGCATCTCGATAGTAGTAAAATTGAACATACGTTCCTTTTAACCTTCAAATTTCAGTACAAGCAGCACTTGCCCACATGGGTGGATGAGGTCGACTCTCTGGGAAATTGCTCTTTCTTCAACCTGCTAAATCCAGTCTCATATCTGGTTTGTTTATTACAGCCAAATACCCAACAATCTCCGCCACGATATGTTTCTATGGATTGCGCCCCTTATGCAGTACCTATTTATCATCCAGATATGGACAACACAGCCACGGTCAATTCACAGTTACAGGCTTCGCTATCAAATTCCTACTACCTTTTTTTTTAAAAATTTTTTTTTTTTTAGATTTATAGAGAATTGTATTTCAGTCGCTTTCAGTCTGCCGACGAATCATTACTGTCTATTTTCCCTCTATGAGTGTGTCTGCCTCATACTAAACCAGACTAGGGGATATACATGAGTACAGTTCTATAACTCCGGCGCAGCAAAGTACCCTCTTTCCGTGGGGTTCAAGCGATAGTGAAGATGGCTCTTTCCGGAAGGAACAACTTTCGCCCATTTTCACGTCACGTCTATAGAGAGAATGAATCAGGAAATGAACTACGTCATAGGATTACGCACTTGCTTGCTCTCTCACTGATGGTAACTCGCCATGCCTCAGTACTCCTGAGAACTTACGAACCAACGAACCAGGCCACCTACCGTCCAGCCAAAACAGCCCAGATCGCCCTTAGCTTTATCTTGCATCACAAACTTTACTCCATACTTCAGTTCCTCGTCGCTTCATCTCTTAGATAACTATCTGCATTCCTCTTCACCATCCTCCTTGCTGGCCACTTCGCTGGGCCCGTACCCAAAAAAAAACCTCGCTTCATTCTCGTCTTTATCGATCATTTTATATGATGCACAGTATCATTGCGAGCCAAGCATGGCAAATGGAGAATCTCAACCACTTCTCAACTCTCCTTCACCGGTTTTTTATTGACTAGGGTCCGGTATCACCGGAAAGGGAATGCGATGATGCCAAGATCACCGCTATGCAGCGTAGCAATTTCTGCATACATAATGATTTGTTATTTGCAAACTGTGTAACCTCAGCTAACTTTATATACAGGGCGGTCATGCTTTTTGGGCTGCCAGAGATCAGACGTTGAGGAGGCTGTGGAAGCAACCAATTGAACTTTGCGGGGAAGCGGGAGGCCTTCGCATGAATGAGAATGGTCAGCCTGCCTCTGTCGATCATGAAGGAACGAGCGCAAGAGTTCAACGGCTCCAGTATAGGCCCCTGTGCAAACTTTTGGAAGCAGTTTTGAGTATCGCGAGATATAATCACCCTCCTTCTCTCCACATCAGATACAATACCCGGAGTTCTTCAGTATGCTGTGTCTCAGTCTCCTGTTTTTAGACTACTGGATGCGCAGTTGTAAATGTCTTACTTTAATTCCCAACAAATCTTGGAGTTCTCTAGGTTCCGTTCAGTATTTTTGTCTTGGTATCATGCACTTACTTGTATTCAGCCGCAGTCGTATGATAATGGACAGCTTCGCCTAAAATTCCACACCCAACCTAACGTCCAACAAACTACGCCGTATCGCTTATCCAACGCCTTCCCCCCCCCATGGGCTACATCTAGCATTTCGCTAACCCGATCAAAAGCTTATTGTACTTCTTTTCCCTGGTCACTCATCCTCGGCTCTCACTATCCAGATCCGGGACCATATCACCGGACTCGACCTCATGTCGTTCTCCCTTAAACTCAAATCCGAGGCAGGAACCGTTTTCATCACACCGATGAGGAGTAGGCACTCCCGCAAAAAGCAGTCAATCTATTAGGACGAAACTGAAAAACAGAACAGTACTTCGGGACCCTATCTTTCGGACTCTCTATGCTCGCGTATCTGCAGTCCGCTTCCCCCCGCTCTAAGGGTTATTTATGGGGTTAAACTTTCGGAATATCACAGCCGCTGGGCTGATGAACCCGAATGCGAGTGTGTGCGTGCTGAACTTCCTTATTAGATACGGTAATTCTGCTTGCGTAGCAGCATGGAGATGAGACATATGGATCTAGGTGGGGGGGGGGATTTCCCCCATGGGTTTCTTCAGACTCGTACTACTATTGTCTCAATCACTCATACTCAAACATCCTACTTTCTTTTCTTCGGTGTCCCTGCCTGACTGCGATGAGTGATATTCTACCTCTGCGTGATCGCCTCCCGTTTACAAAGGATTCTTAGGCCACCAACCCCGTTTATCAATGGGGCAAAAGGAATCAGGTTTGCTCTATCTCTCAGCTTGCTGCTTTTGTCTAAGCCGTTCTGTTATTACACCAACACCGAGACTAAGAACGTGAAAAGGAATACGTGGAAATTGCAATCTGATGGAAAGTACAGACACCCTCATAAGCAGTGCTTTCTAGATTCCCATACAATATATCAAGCATACGGATACCTCGATCAATCCTTCCCAGAAGCCTGACCGGGCCCCAGTGACACTGTTCCTTTCCGTGAGGACAAACAACGGAAGAGAAGCTCTACCGCTCACAGGTGCATTATTTGATTTCATTTGCTCTCCCAAATGCATGCAGCATACGGAGACGCATACTCGCGTCCGAAAATTTTTGTTCTTATATAAATACAAGGAAGCCAACTTCGGCCCTCGACGTGGCCAAAAATAAACTACCTGAAGCCATCAACTATTTCCGTTTTCCTCACGTATATTTGATCCTCTGTCTCCAATTCAAACCGCCCTTCTGGCACCAATCCATACCTTCTCCCTTGCAGCAGCAGTTTCAATCTTCCTTTTCCCAGCAATTTAATATTCGTTCTCGCAGCTTTTCAGACTTTCTCCTTCGTAGCGTTCCAATGTTCTTTCGTCACAGAAATTTTCCTATAGCAATGTACGCTAAAAATTCCAAACCGAAGTGGAGCCCCTAAATAATCTAACTTCATAATTTATTTAAAACATTTAAACAACAACCAATAAGGGCGTGGTGGCGGAGTGGTTATCGCGCAAGACTAGAAATCTTGTTCCTTCGGGAGCGTCAGTTCGAATCTGGCCCACGTCGATTTTTTTTTGGATGGAAGGAAGGATGGATGAATGGATGATGAGGTGCAAGTGTCGCTTGAATCAAGCATGAATGAGCTCCAGTTACCCGCATAAAAAGACAAAACTGTCTGCCTACCACACATACCGGCGACATCCACTACCTTAACGCACACAACCCGTACTCTGATCGTCTTTTTTTCAAAGAATAGCCGTACAATCGGCACTTGGCGGGGTGGCCAGCCATTCTTGAAGAAAGCTCGCTGGAGTACATTACTCAACATCCGAAGCAAAAAAAGAGTCTTAGCAACGACTCCAAACTGAGACTTTCAACTTGATGCATCCGCCGTGAATCGAACACGGGGCTAACCGACGCTGAATGGCAACGGTTAATTTTACCACTAAACCACGAATGCTGTTCGTTCTCTTTAATACGATAAAATGGAAAATTGGAATTGCCGTATATATACTAAAAATATTAAAGGTCCACTCCGTCGCTTTTAGCGTTGTTCTGCAAGCACCGAAAAATGGTTACTGCTCGGCCATCTACATGGATACAGGTAGCAATATCTTTCATATAGAAAAGGCCTAATCCAGTATGTATCTAGATCATAGCATAGTACTATCAACCCACGGTAGAAGAAGCCAACGTGCGCGGAAATTCGTGCGCACGGACCATTTTATGTAAACCGTAGTTTACCGGTATCTCACTAGCGTGAATGGCATATCGTCATGTGCGTACTTCTTCACGCTGGGTGGAAACTGCTATGAAAGAAGAAAAAAATCGAGTATTAGAGTAAGCGATTAATTTGTTGACTCCTGCAAGTTAGACTCACCGAGTCCTTGAATTGATATTATATGCTAGTTAACTGGTTCCTCTAAATCACTGTGAATTTGCACTAAGTCAAGAATAAGCTTTATGAGGCACTGGAGTCAGCATTTTGATGAGGTTTAGCACATACGTCTGCATGTCTTCCCCATAAGGATAAAGAATCATAATTTCTGCGCTCAAAGTCATTTCATAAAATAAGTCTCTTATCCTAAAAACACTCCCAAACATAACATATCCCCAATTGCATACTCTAACCGCACTTCACACCTCCTTGAAAAGCAACCATAGCTATATAGCAACCCCTTAGACTTCCCATAATTTAATAATATTCTCTATCTTTCCCAGTAAAATTTTCCTATACCTACTATTATAAACTTCAACCACACTTTGAGACTCCTAGCGAGACGACTACAACTAAGCATAAAGTCTCTCCACTTCCTATAACCTAATAACGCTTATAAACAGTATAATAGCCCACTCCTTTTCCCACAGTGTGTAGGAGTACAAAGATGGAACTGGAGGAATCGGTAGACTGAAGCTTAAATTAAGAGATCTTCACTGTATTATTAACCTAAAATGCGACCGTATTTATATACATCTCTCTTCTAAGGAACAGAGAGCCATGAGACCATCGAAATAGGAACCACCTTCTTAACTATGGAGACCCTATCCATCTTCAAACCATTCTCCAAATCACCGACCTCCCTGTCAACCAACCCAACCAGCCAAACACTCACTTCCACCAAGATGCCTCTACCGAACAACCCCGTTTCTCAACCAACCCTCTAACCAGCACCTCCACTCCCCCTTCTCAGCAAAGCCCCACCAAGTATACTACTCAGTCATAAACGCATCGAAGGTATGAGCTGAGGCTTGACCTTCGTCCTGTAATAATAAAAGCGCAAACAGTTAGACAGAGAGAATTTACCAATTCCAGATGACATGGATCTGCCTCGTTCTAATTAAACCTGGAAGAAGTATATAAGTACTCTAGGCGTCCAGGTCATCCCCTGAATGGTCTGTCCTAAACTACAGCCGAAACAAGCTTAATATTTCGGCTACTAACAAGTAAAAAGAGGTAGGAGAAAGACTTCTGAGCGCATAATCAACTCACCACCTTAGTAGGTTCCACTCAGTTGCGCAATGTGCTGAAGAAGCCTCACCGAAATGAATTATCTCCATCGAGATACGTAGATCTATTTTGACGAAGTAGGAAGGATATCAATGGGATGATTTGAACGGACATTCTGTATTGCTTAAGATATACACACAGCTCGTTTGAAAATTTGGGTGGAGAGTGAATACATTATGTATGTCTGAAGTCCCTAAAGGTCCTTCTCCGTAGGCCGTAGATAATGTTAGACAGAGTCAGGCTGAATAGCATGTTGCTAATATACCGCTACTCGGCTGCCTGTATCGATTGGTTGGGGCACATAGGATCAGAAAAATTCCATACCATCAAACGGAAACTTTTACCACAGTTTTAACCTCGATTACTTGATATATCTCGATTACTTGGTATATCTCGATTACTTGATATACCCAACATCACCAGAGTATATCCATCATACGAAAAAACCAAACCATTAGGATGAGACCCTCACAGTAAAAGAAAGGGTGCGCCTACAAAATAAAGCTTTGCCCAACCCATCCCTTTGCATTTCAACTATCAATTCAATCCGTTCCATGCCGCAACGGGAAAGCACTAATTCCTTGCCTACATGTGCGTCGAACCACAAGTGAACAACAGCCAAAAATGAAAGAAACAAAGGGAGCAAGGAAAGGAAAAAAAAGTAAAAGGAGGAAGACAACATCCTGTCAGATATTGTAATACCCATAACAAGACGCAGAATCAGGCTTCTTCGAGTCTGACAAAAATACTAGCATCGGTATGGTTATGAACCCTTTGCACGGGTAGCGTAGTATATAGCCCGAAAAATAAGTTTATTTTCCGCGATTGCTTAAGGACCCAATTAAGGCCCAGTGTATCTCTCGTATCTAACAGAAGAAAGTCAGCTGATGGACACTTGACAAGAAGAAATGCAGAAAGGTTGAAGGAGGGATGCGAGAGTAACAGGGCTGGTGCTCCGGACAGGACGCTTCTGCAGACTATGCATGGGCGCGCAGCGGCTGCAGTTAGGGCTCGACGCGAGATAAATCTTGCATGCAAGCTGGGGGCGCTGGCCCCACCCCCAACACACTGCACCCACACCAATATTCTCTCCGCCTCCCGTCACCGCCATGCACCTGCGTGGGGACACGAAGTCCACCGGGAGACGCTCCCGGCCGCTGCGAAGATGGCCTGTCTCTTGCACGGGCCAACATCATGTTAAGGGAATTATCACTCACTTCCAGATGCGAGCGCGCATGTCGCCGCTGCCCGTAGCAAACACTCCTCCGATCGGGCTTGGGGCAACTGAAATGACTGCAAACGGATTAGCTGATCACATTCATCTAACGGCATCAAAAGCCCGGGTTGACGGCGTGGGGGAGTGAGAGTTGACTTCTGTCATAATGCTTACCAGAATTTTTGTGGCCTGTAAGCACAAGCTGGGCGATGCCCGTTACAGGGTCCCAGAACTGCACACCACGGTCTTTGGAGCCACTGAGTACCCATTCTCCATGAGGAGTAAGAGCGACGCTTAAAACGAAATCCTATTATTGTTAGTCGTTCCTTTATCGGATGCATGCCAGCATTCAGGTCGTCTAAGTAGCATAATGGAGGAAATAGGTTGCTTACCTTGTGGCCTTCGAAAGTTCGGATGCATTTACCGCCTGGAGGCGCTCCTGGCATCATGCGATTCGGTGCGCTTAACTCCCACATCTTAATAGTCTTGTCTAGACTGCCACTGACCAACTGGTTACCCTGGGGAGCGAATGCCACGGAGTAGACACTGTCTTTGTGTCCAACTTCACCATCGAGGCGAACAACCATCTGGCCGGTATTGATGTCCCAAACGCGAACGCTCTTGTCAAGCGAACCAGCCGCAACGAAGCGGTTATCAGGCGAAATGGCTACTGTGGTGACACCGTCCTCAATCTGGAGATGGAGGACCTGAGTGTTGCTCTCAAGGTCCCACAGGCGAACGGTACGGTCTCCGCTGCCGGACGCAATTACTCGACCATTGCGGGCGAAATCTAAGCTGTAGATATCTTGCTCGTGCCCGGTGAAGGAGTGTTTGATGGAACGATTGGCGATATCCCACACCTACAGAAGTTAGCCAGCCTATCATACCATGATCTCTAAGGGACTTGAATCGGTATAAAATAATGGACTTACGCGAATGACCTTGTCTTCAGCTCCCGTGGCAAGGTACGCGCCGTTGGGGCTGAAGCAAACGCTCCGGATATAAAGATCCCCATCTTCGGGGAGTGTTCCGTCTTGGAGATGAGCCACCTGCTGGCCAGACTCCACTTCGAAAATCTGAGCGGAACGGTTACATCCGGTCGCGACATACCTGCCGTCTAGACTGAACCGGACACAGCAAACTACGCTCTGATGTGGAAGATTGTGAATCAAGTCAACGTCCAGAACTCGCCTTGTACGAGGGTTGAAAATGGCGAACCAGTCTTGTCCCTCCTTCTTAAAATGCTCTGGGACTTGATCAGGGTCCATATCGGAAAGCCCGTTGCTTTCTCTCAAGGAGACCTGGTTAGCAACCATGGGTTGATGTTGATGCTGGTTCGGTGGGGGAGTAGGCCTTGGAACCTGCGGAGAACCAGGGTAAGGAGCTGCAGGGGGTTGCTGAGGAGTCGCGGGTCCACCAGGAGGGCCACGAGGAGGGCCTCCACGCTTAGGCGACGCAGTTGGTTGCGGCATTTGGCCATAGGCTCCTATTCCATATCATCAGCTTGTAGATATTCAGTGAATTGGTAACATATGAAGAAATTGGTTTCAACTTTTCCCGCACGCAAAAGAGATGCGGCCAAGAGCCCAGAGGACGGCAGAATAACTTGATGCTAACAAACCACTGACAATGAACAACACACCATACACGCTTTTTAGGAGGGGAGAAATAAGTCACGACAGACGCTGAAGTCCAAGAAACTTAAATCTGTTGAAAAATCGAGGCATTCTTTACAGCGTGAGGGATTCAAGTGTAGTAGTGCTTCCGTTGGCGTCAAGTATTTTATGCCGCCCCTTTGAAAGTCTCTGTAGCCAAGCGCTTTTCCGCGGTGGGGCCTAGAAGTCGGGAAGGAGAAAGGACTCGAGACTCACCGTTCATCGCCGGCCCCTGATAGCCCCCAAAAGGTGTATGTTGTGGCGGTCCCGGGACCGGATTGAGACCTGGTGGGCCTTGGGGACCATGGGGAGGCAAGCCCTGTGGTTGTGGTTGCTCTTGAGGAGGAGGTGCAAGGTTGGGGGGACCTTGAGCGGCGTTGCCCGCCATGATACCGCCAAACAGATTGGCGGGGCCATGTCCAATGGATGGTGGAGGCGGGTGGGACGGATGCTGCTGCGAGGACTGGCTAGGTCCACCACGAGCTTCCAGTTCATTCTGCAGGCGTCTAATTTCGTCTTCATACCTGGCGGAGAGAGTTAGCCCTGATCTCTGATATTCAGAAGAGAGCACTTACTTCGCT